TTAGTGGCACTCTATTAGCATTAGAGGGAGGGAGAACACCTGACCGATCCGACGGAGGATGATGGCTGTAGCTCCGTTGCTGTTTAGAGATGTGTAGTGATTTTATTAAGTAAGAAGATCAAGCTGGACGGTTCCTTTTTACTCCCCTTGAGTTAATGCGGCCAACGAGGTATGCAGGGTTCCTTGTTTAGTTTTACGTTGTGTTTATATTGGTGGATAGGCTAACTACAGCTAATATAAGACCTATTAGCAGAGTTTCACGTGATAACGTGATGGCATCATCTGAAGTAAGCAAATTATCTGCAAGCTTAACAGCTTCTAGCCTGCAAAGGGATGGATTTGTCAGCTATTTTGTGTTTGTGAAAGATTTATTTAATGATTATTCTCTATGAGAATGCTTTGTATTTTATTTGACTCATTTTATGATTTGTGTATTTTATTTTGTCTAGTTCTCACGGCGTGCTTGACGATGTGAATGTCGGAATAAATGCCTGTAACCAAAGGAATGCCTTGTGTTCGTGATTTAAACTGGAGGGGAGCTACACACACTACGCAAATTGTTAAGTCAGGTAGACGAGGTAATCATCAGGTCAAATTTAGGACTTTTTAAGACCTTTTTAAGACCATTATGAATGAAATCCAAGACCTATATCACGACTTAAAAAAAAACAAACACACAAAGGAAATGCAGTCACAAAATAACTTCAAAAGTAAATCAATGTATTCAAGTTAGAGTAGAGTGATATCTACAAAATTGGCATCGGATGATGTCAACAATGAAACACCGGGATGGACGATGACATTGATAAGAACGTAAACAAGCTGGCACGCGCGCTGACGTGAAAAATGGATCAACGGTAGACAAAAAATAAATAAATAAAAAGAGTTGTCTTTTCGGTGACTTTATAAAGCATAACCTACTGCTGATTGTTAAACTCAGGGGAGCAGACTGGGAGACAGAGAGAAGCAGGAAAAGCCAGAGGTGAAGGTGTGCGTGAGTGAGTGCAGGGAGAAGTCGAGGCAAGCGCAAAGCAGATACATTTACAAATAATATTAGAAATACTGTCCATTCACAGGGCGGTATAATGTAAAACATTAAGATGGTATTTTTGCGTGGGGGATTAGGGGTCCTCCCCCAAGAAAATTATGTTTTACAATAAAGAAATATGCAATCCCACATAATTTTAGAACATTGTTATTACCACATCTGTGAATAAGTAGGAAAATGTAGACCAGGTTTGGAATAAACTACACCTCGACAGCGAAACTTGCTAAATAAGTCTACTGGGGTTGAATTCTAACCATTAGATCTATGAAAATTAATTTGGTTGGTTTTGATGCTCTCCACAGTGATTTTATATTCATTGCGCAGCACCAAGCTGTTTTGAGCCTCACCACCTTATAATGGCAGGAAAACACTGTTAACATGACCTCAGAATCATTACAGATATGACAGTTCATGTTTGCCTTTTGTGTCTTAATTTACTGCTTTATACATTTGTAGAAATTAACATAAATAATAGGCAACATGAGAACCACCTCCCTTCTGTATTATTACAAGCATTTCATTTGTACATCAAAATCCAAAAGAATAATCTCCTCATTAGTTTAAAAGGACTAACGTTAGTTTGCATCCCTAATTTGCTTTAACGTTACTAACCTCAGCTCCTCCGTGGTCAACACTGTCCTTTCTTATTTAATTTAACTATCAAGATGTACAGTAGAGGACAGAGCTGGAAACCTGACAACTGGGGAACCATTTCAATGAGCATTAGAGGTAGCGTTACATGGACACTGGAAAATAAATATCCGTTTAAAATGATTTAAGACAGAAACAGAAACTTCAGCGAATTTAAAACTTTTTAAGACCTTAAATTTTGATTTTGAAATTTTAGACTTTTTAAGACCCCGCAGAAACCCTGCAGGACATCTACTGGACAGCTGCTGTTGTCAGAGCAGCTCCTTTAATCTGGAGGTCTCAGAGTGTTTGTCCGAGTGACAGAAAGTGACTTGGACTCTCGGGAGGAAATTATTCTGGCAGTAAAAAATATTGAGTCGGTGTGTCAGTTAATAAATGCTTCAGCTTCTCCAGACAAACAAAAGTCTGTTCCCAAACGGCTGAAGAAGTAAAGAAGGTTAGCAAACATCTCCCCTTCAACTGGAAGCTGAGTAGGAAGCTAACAGAAAGTCTTTTAGTTCAATTTATAGCAAGTAAATAGCTGTATTTTATTCCAGCCTACCAGCTGAGAGAAAAGTGGTGTTCAGCTCCGTCCTGAACACAGACTGAACATCCATGGGGTACCATATTTGGGTCACACATAGCGACTTGTCAATCACAAGGTAGCCCCGCCCTAAAGCCTCCCCTGCTTTCTGGTCATTTTCCTTTAAATGGGACTATAATTTACTAAATGATCATCATGCTGTGTTGAAGAAGACTAGCGACTGAGACAATAAACTCATTAGCAAAGTGTGCAGCTGCAACTGCTAAAAGACAAGTCTAATTTAAACAAACACAGTGACTCAAACAATGGGTGAGAAATAGAACTATAAACTTAAACATGACAATAGAACAGATTTGATGGCAGTGCAGTAGAGCTGGACCCAAATATTTGACTATTCATTCATTGGGTTGGTATTCAGTTTTCAATTTTGGGATGTGGAGATTCACACAAGCACCTACGGTTCTGTCCCGCACAACGCTGCACACACACCGGCTTGCACAGCCCTTTTTTCTCTTGCTGTATCATACAGCGACAGACGCATACAGGCTGCTATCTGTCCACTTTCAACTTTCATTGTCAGCCGTATTTTTTACTGGCCAAAAAACACAGCTCGCGTTTTGAGCTTTTTCACCCACAAATCTGTGGTAACAACCGCAGGTGAGCTGCTTTTGGAGGAGGCCTATAGTACATCTCTCTCTGTTTGTGTCTCTGCAACCGTCAGTAGACCGTATGGCAACCGATCATGGATGGAGTTGGTCTCTTGGACAGATAGAAACATAAAAAGTCATGCTCAGCACATAAATCTGAGCGAAATTGAGGATTATCTGTCTTGGGTTATGTGTTCAGGGCAGCCGAAGAATTTAAAAATAAGCTTGTAAATGCCTTTTAAAGTGATCATGTACCAGAAAACTTACAAAAATAAATGCAAATGAGAAATAACAATTGAAAGTAGACAATATCATAATCAAATTTCACTATTCCCAATCTGTACCATTATGTGATCAACATTGTTGCTACGGCAAAGGTAATATTAAACTCACCTGAAGGTCATAAATCCTGAGGATCTCTGCAGGGCCTCTGCTCTCTTGGCCTTCTGCCTGTACAGGGCAATCAGTTGAGGTGTGTATCTCTCAAGCTCGCAGTAGAATTGGTTACATGGGTTCAACAAAGCGATGAACTCAGCAAACACCTGCAAACACATAAATGTATGCAGATTAAAGGCTTTCAACTTGGGCCTTGACAGAAAAACATAATGCATCAATTACTTGTTTTAAGCAGGATGGCTGACTATATGGCAAAAATAATATAGTTTTTACCTGAGAAATGAACATAGACCACTACACTGACAAGAACAGAAAATGCAGGGTCATCCTGCAAATTTCTTTAACCTAACTTAGGTTTTGCTGCATCAAAATGAAAGATTATGTGGCTGAGAATTGAGTTAGCCAATCAAATATATTTTAAAATAGACTAATTGTATAATATTTCATCATTTAGCTTCTATCTGAAGCAACATTCCCACACCAACGCAAACCCTTGTGTTTTTTCACAACAGTGCCATTTTTGGTCTGCAGTTTTCTCAGCTTTTGATCACTGCCAATCAGTTCTGAAAGAAATCTATGAGAATTTTAAATTGCTAAATATACATATTCATTCTAAAATCTCACAGTCACAGCTGGACAAATGCATTTTTCTAAAACAGTATAATATCCCCCCTACGTGTCAAGTCAGGGCTAAAGTATCTTCTTTCATGTTAAAATGTCATCCACTGTGAAATGTTGCTGGCTTCAGTTCTAGCAATGTAGTATTTTTTATATCCTCAGTATGTCTGCTTAGCAAGCCAGCAATTGATGCAGAAATATGCAAATTGATAACATACCTTGGATAGCTGTAGTGCCACTCAATACTCTGATCCTGCGAGAGCAAATATAACAAACAATATAAAGATTTCTCATTAGCCCGGTCAACAAGAACATCATCGAATGCTGATTTTCTAAAAAAAATACAATATTTTATCATTTATCTTAACTTTCTGTTAACATTACTGCGCCTGAAAACAGAACTTTTTCACTTACCAGAACAAAGCGCATGTAACAAGGAGCAGCCCCAGATGAAAATTATGTGTTAAGTGTTGACGACTGTCTGGAAAGGTTTCAACCACTGGTGATACCTTACAGTTGCTAACATTAACTAACGTTAGAATGACAGGAATGTGGCAAACTGACTCCACAAACTGCCTCCGGTTTAAAATAACAGAAAAGAAAAAACACTTTCACAGCACTGCAAAGAAAGCTGGGTTCTCTCGAACTTTGTAAAATATACACAATATACAAGCCCATTAGGATGCTTTCCAATGACATATAAGAACTGATTCAACCCACAATGCCCAAGTCTTAACCTACAGATTTTAACAGAATCTCTTCTGGATCCATAACAGTGCCTGACTTTTTTAACCTGAGATTGCGAGTAATAATGTCTCCCCTTCGTCTCATTTTCCCATAATCTGTGCCATTCCCCCTCAATCCTTTGCTTAATTTTTTCTTTTAGTTCCACTCTTCCCAATGATATATTTATATCTGTCTCTAACTTCTTTAAGCTTGATTTTGCTAAAAAGTCTGCTACTTCATTTCCTTCAACTCCAGCATGTCCAGGGACCCAGCAGAACATAACATTGCTACCAATGCTAGTATTTCACTTATGATATCAGGACAGGCTTTTGCTTTACTGCCTTTCAAGGCCATCAGGGCAGCTGCAGAATCAGAGCAGATTAAGGCTTCTCTTATTTTCACGTCCTCAATCCACCACAGAGCCCAAAGAACTGCCAGTAGCTCTGTTGTAAAGACAGAACTTCCGTCTGTAATTCTCCTGCTAATCCTAAAGTCCAGTTGAGCTATAACTTATACACCCCAAAACCTGCTCTCCCACTCTCTGGTTCCCTGGCACCATCTGTAAAAATTTTCAGATATGATCCCTTCCCACTGTTCAGATATTGTTCCAATTTTAGAGCAGTCATGTATTTGTTCTTTTCTTGTAAAAAAAAAGTTAAATCAATATTCAGTTCATCATCCCCTTCATATTTCAGCATCATTTGGTGGCAAAACTTGTGAAAAGTAAAAGGACCGTTGATGTCGCGTATCAAACTTCTATGGACCTTGGTAAGTCTCTGTTACTTATTAAACCATTGTTTTGTATTTTAACAGGAGCCGAGTTGTAGAATAACTTGATGTTCACCATAAACTCCAGCTGGCTTACTTTATCTGTAAACAGGGCTAAGGTGACCAGTTGATCGCTAACGTTAGCTTAAATGTGCCACTGAGAAGCTAAGTTAACTTACTAGTTGATGTTAAATTAGACGTGTTGGCAAGAGGTAATGTTAACATTGTCATCGTGGAAGAGTCATTTTGTTGTAATATTTGGAGTCTTCCATATATCAGTTAAAATGTCCACGTGTGAGGAGTTGGCAACATTAAACAAACTACCTTTAGCTTGATGTACTGTAGATGTCCATGCCGAACAATTCGCGGGTAGTCCTACAAGGACATAGCAAAATAATGTCGCATAAATAACTGCCTATTTAGTAGTAAGTAGTGTTACCTTTACTGATTTACTTTCACAGCCCTTTCAAAAGTGTGTTTGGCTGTCATGTTAGCTAGTTAAATTAATCTTGCTTTGCTAATGCTTGTATGTTCCTGAAATGTAAGTTGCTTTAGAAAAAGTGTCTAACATTACCAAATTTAAATGTAAAATTGACAGTCTTGTCTCAGTAATTGTTCTGTTAGCTGTTAGTAGTTGTTAGGTGGTGGTCTTGACAAACTATTTTTCTTTTAGCAATTGATATTAAATAAGCCCCTTGTCTAAATTATTAAAGATTGTAATTTTGGTATTGATAAACTACAATATTACTGGTTCTCTTATCTCTGCTTCTTAAGTTTTGGTGTAAGTTAACTTAGTTTAATGTAATGCTGCAGCATCTGCCTCTTACACACCAAGCAAAGTCAGCAGACCTTAGTGCTGAAAGGGCGGTAGGGCCAGTAAAGTGAACCAGGTGGAGTGTATTATAATAAATACATTTAGCCATTTAACTCATGCTTTTATCCAAAGTGACTTACAATTGCTATATATGTTAAAGGTGGCACCCTCTGGAACAACTAGGAGTTAAGTGTCTTGCTCAGGGACACATTGATGGATGTGTCACAGTAGAAATTGTATGCAGGTCTGTCTCACCAAAGGCATGTGTCTTATCCACTGCTCCACAACCAATAAGTATGCTCATTATTGTATGTAGACTTATTTAGCAAATTTAGCTTTGGTTTTAGTGTATTCAAAATCTTACTCTACTTATTATTCACATATGTTGTAATAACAATGTTCCAAAATTATGTAGAATTGCGTAATTATTGGAAATTGTTTACATTTCTTTATTGGAAAATGTTTACACCCTGCAATTTGACACCCTGCAAAAGCATGTTTAAATCCCTATGGACATTATTTTTATTTCTAAATGCACCTGCCTCGACTTCTCCCTGCACTCACTCACACACACCTTTACTTCTGTTCTCTCACTGCAAACACACCGGCTTTCCCCGCCTCTGTCTCGGCCTGTCTGCTCCCCTGAGTTTCGCTATAAGCAGTAGGTTATGTTTTATAAAGTCGTAGAAAAGACACAGAATTTTTTTTTTTCCCCACCGGTGATCCATTTTTCACGTCAGCACACATGCCAGCTTGTTAATTGTGTAGCCTATCAATGTCATCATCCATCCCAGTGATTCATTGTTGACATCGTCCAATGCCAGAGTGTGAGTGTGTTCTCCAAATTAAATAGAGTTTGGTACAAACAGTAACTGCATTAGTTTAAAGGTCCGACCAGAATCAGACTACTATTTACTAGCACAGCTAATGTTAACTTTAATATTTTCCTCGAACCGTGCAGGCCTACCTCATGCCTGTTGGGTCTGGTCTTACCAAATAGTCACCAAATAATGAAGTATTGCAAGTGGTATTGTTAAAGAATCGGATCGTTAAGGGTCTCGGTAAGGGTATCAAAAGTTAATGATCCCTAGTGCTAAGTGTGTGTGTGTAAACCAGGTCTGCATGCTGACGGCTAATAAGCTATGATCGCTTCCTCCATGACTCTCCGGCTGTCCGTCCTGTCAGAGCTCACCTCCATCAGGTTCGCTGAAGTCGAGCTCGACTTGAAACATTGGTGCAGATTTTCAAACCTCTTTTTTTTTTTTTCTCCTGTGTGTCAGAACCAGCCATCCTGGTGATGCATCACTCCATGAAACCTCATCCCACCATCACTGCCACGCTGCTAGAGGGGGAGCAGCGTCTGGCTGCTCCGCTACCTCACCCCCTCCATCTACACAGACTGAATGTTTCTGTCTCGGTTCAGTTCCCAGATGAGACGCTGTGGAGCGTTTAGCTGCTCAACATGATCGTAGCTGTCAGACTCCACACAGGTAACAGCTGATCAGGACTCTCCTCTGCAGAACCTTTAGTCTGGTTCTGCTGGTTCTGATCCAGGTTGTGTTCAGTAAGCAGGTCTGTTGCAGCTGCAGGAGCTGATGTGTCCATGATGATGGGGAGCCTGGTGATGTTCAGGAAGGACTCTCAGAGGTCACCTGTCCTCATGTCTTCCACCTGTCCTCACATCTTCTTCTTCATGTGTCCAGTTTAGTCTCTAGACTGGGAGACCTTCGAACAGTACAGCACCTGGCAGCTGTTCCTGGCCCACAGCATCCCCCTGCAGACCATCATCTCCATCCTGCAGTACCTTAAATTTAAAGGTGAGTGGTGTCTAGGAAAGGAGCCCTGTCCTCCAGTCTGATCAGTCCTCTGACTCCTTTTGTCTTTGTGTTCCTAGAACACCAAGGCCTTGTCCTGTCTGCTGCTGCTCTGCAGAGAGAAGTATGACAGGAACACACCTGGACACTCATCTTAGAGTCTCCTGGGTCCCCGTTAACATCTCCGTCTCTGTGTCCCAGGCCCAGTGAGGAGATGGTGAAGATTTTCCTGAGTTGTCCCTGTCACCCCGAGGACCAGTTCAGCACCAGCATCCTGAGACACTGGGCGTTCAATCACGACAACACGCTGAGAGAATGCATCAAGGCCCAGCTGGTCGAGAATAGGGATGCAACAATTACAGATTTTGTTGGTATGATTATTGTCAGAAATCAGTTTCATGATTATTATGCATTAATTAATTTCACAACAATAATGACATAAGTTGATTTTTAATTAATTGCATTAACAATTTCTATAATATGTAAGTATTTATATAAGGAATATTAACTAACCAGGGTTGTCATAAAGGAGGGGAATAAACTGTTTTAGTGAAAATGATATGAAATGCAGTTAATTGGTCTAAGCTCCTGATGTAAGTTAGTGTTGTACACCTGGCAACATTTTTGTCAACACCGACAGGAGAAGACAACATGATGTAAGTTAAATGTTTAGTGACTGAAGGTCTTGAGAGGACTGCATTCTCTCTTCTATAAAACCCTTTCAGAAAAGAAGCGATTTGCACTACGTGGAAGCTGCGTGGAAGCTGCTGCGCACGCAAGCAGCAAAAACACCTTGCGCGGCGCAAGCCATTGAAAACAATGGGCCTCATAGCACAGCGGGGCTGTTGCGGTGGGTCTGAAAGGTTACATGCTGCTTTGTTGACATTGCACTGAAAGCTGACTCCCACTGCTACGGCACTAATTGTAAGTGACGCGTTTATATTTAATTCCCTACCAACTTGCTACGTTAATGTAGGCCTACCTTTACTTGGGCCTGCAAAGCTGGGTGGTGGTCCCGGTGGCAGCGACTACTGAAATCAGTAGTTGCTGCATCCCTAGCAAAGAACTACCAGCCCCAACACAAAGAACAGCTGTCAGTACACACAGGCTTATTGATCGCTTCAGGAGGGATTGATAACTGTTAGCTGAGTCTGTCTCTGCCAGTCTTCACTCAGACCCCGATCCTTTGGCTCTGCAGCACGTTCAGGCCAGCTGTGACGAGGTCCACAAGATAAGGTACACATACACTGACGGGTGACATCACTGCGGTGGTGATATCACTTCCTCCTCCTACAGGTTCAGCGACCTGTTCGCCCTGGAAGGAGTACGAGGACTCCCAGACCAAGCCTCCCAACTTCCACCTTAAGGCTCCGGCCTCCTCCTCGCTCACAGAAAGGAGAGCGCCTCCAGCAGAGCCTCAGTATGTAACTCCACCTGCTCCTGAATCTGCGTCTCGTTCTTTGATTGGTCTGTTTCAAAACCACACGGAAATTTGATATTTAATGTGTCTGATTTGTGAAACCAGGAAGCAGCTCTGTGTCTTCACCAAGCAGGAACCTCCAGGTTTGAAAAGTGAAACCTCAAACCTGCATTCTCTCTAACAGCCAGCAGGGGGCGACTCCACTTGATCGTATAGAAGTCTATAGAAAATGTGGCTACTTCTCAGCTGATTTATTACCTCAGTAAACACTTTGCTAATGAGTTTATTGTCTCAGTCGCTAGTCTTCTTCAAAACAGCATGATGGTCACTTAGTAAATTATAGTCCCATTTAGAGGAAAATGACCAGAAAGCAGGGGAGGCTTTAGGGCGGGGCTACCTTGTGATTGACAAGTCACTATGTGTGACCCAAATATGGTACCCCATGGATGATTCAGTCTGTGTTCAGGACGGAGCTGAACACCACTTTTCTCTCAGCTGGTAGGCTGGAATAAAATACAGCTGCTCGTTACTTGCTATAAATTGAACTAAAAGACTTTCTGTTAGCTTCCTGCTCAGCTTCCAGTCTGAAAGGGAGATGTTTAACCTGTTTCACTTCTCCAGCCGTTCGGAAACAGACTTTTGTTCTGGAGAAGCTGAAGCATTTATTACCTGACACACCGACTCCATATTTTTTTAGTGCCAGAATATTTTCCTCCTGAGATTCACTGTCACTCGGACAATCGCTCAAAATTTAAGGTCTTAAATTCACTGAAGTTTCTGTTCTAAGTCTTAAATAATTTTAAACGGGTATTTATTTTCCAACGTCCATGTAACACTACCTCTAATGCTCATTGAAATGCAGTTGTCAGGTTTCTAGCTCTGTCCTCTACTGTACATCTTGATACTTAAAAACAAAGGACAGTGTTTACTACAGAGGAGCTGAGGTTAGTAACATTAAAGCAAATTAGGGATGCAAACTAATGTTAGTCCTTTTAAGCTAATGAGATTATTCTGGATTTTGATGTACAAATGAAATGCTTGTAATAATGCAGAAGGGAGGTAGTTCTCATGTTAATTTCTACAAATGTATAAAGCAGTAAATTAAGACACAAAAGGCAAACATGAACTGTCATATCTGTAATGATTCTGAGGTCATGTTAACAGTGTTTTCCTGCCATTATAAGGTGGTGTGGCTCAAAACAGCTTGGTGCTGCGCAATAAATATAAAATCACTGGAGAGCATCAAAACTAACAAAATGAATTTTCCCAGATCTAATGGTTAAAATTCAACCCCTGTAGACTTATTTAGCTTTTGGGGTGTAGTTTGTCTCCCCTGAGTTTATCCAACAGCAGGAGGCTAAGTTTTATAAAGTTGCCAAAAGACACAACTTTTTTTTTTCTTTTTTCCTGGATTTGTCTACCAGTGATCCATTTTTCATTTCAGCAGGTCCACCGCATGCCAACTTGTTAATGTCATTGTAGCTTATCAATGTCATTTGTCCATCCCGGTGTTTCATTGTTATCGTCCAATGCCAATTTTGTAGACATCACTCAACCCTAACTTGAATACATTACTGCAAGTAATTTTGTGACTGCATTTTCTTTGTGTGTTTCTTTTTCTAAGTTCTGATATAGGTCTTGAATTTCATTCATCATGGTCTTAAAGTCCTAAATTTGACCAGGTGAAACCTGCAGAAACTCTGATTGTTCCATTACCTCATCTACCTAACTTAACAATTTGCGTAGTGTGGAACTTCTTATTTTATTTCTTGATTCTTTTCGTCTTTATTTGCTTATGATTCCATGAAACTCCACATTTAAAGCTCCCTTTTATATTTAAGTAAAGGCTACTGATGGAATGAAATTATACAAAGTCACTTTTTCCACAAAACACAGTAAAGTAGTAAAAAGAAATTTTATTTAGCTTAAGAGATTCAACACCAAAAAATCTCATTAAGAATCTGGAAATGGAGAATGTTCAACAAAAAAGACAAATTGTTGCTGGTTAATTATCTGATCAAGCAGTCAATTGCTTTGTCTATTCAGCTTTATGCAAGATTTGCATAAAGCTGAATAGATTTGAGGTAATCAGTTTCCACAAATATTGAGTATTCTGAACTTATTTGGGTTTGAGGCCCAAGCTACACTCAATCCTGTGTGTGGAAGTACTATCACCAAACTGTACTTTAAATATATCAGGTCCCCTCTAAAGGATCACAAGATAATTCTGGAAGGTTGTGAGCTGATTAACATGAGTGAAAATAAGTATAAAACAAAAAGCGGGGGGCCTGAAACACTAACATTAAAACAGTTTGACCTCTTTGCGCCTCAGTTATTTAAATGAAACAATCTCTTTTTGGTGGAACTCCTAAAAAGTCGTCTGACTCATCACTATACATGGCTTCTTTTGTAAAAAGCATTAAGATGAAAATCACTGGTTTAATCTTTAATAGCATCTTGTGTTTTAAAATTTTTTAAAATGAAAATAAGTAAATAGTGAATGCAACTACAGCTGTTAAATGTTGTGGTGCAAACAATGTTTCCCTCCAAAATGTGTTGGAATAGAAGAATAAAATAGAGTACTTCAAAACACTACTTAAGTACAACTCTTGAAATAAATAAATGTACTTTCCTCTACTGGTTATAATGAAGATAGGCCCTACATCTAAATATGTAGTACATGTGTTTGTAATTTCTTTTTGGCAACATATCAACTGTAATGTGATGGTCCTATAGAAAACGTCTTATTGCCTATTATTTCATTTTATGACCTAACACTGGAAACCACGCGGTGCGTCGTGGGTTCATACCATCTTTACGTAAATATTAAATTGAGGAAGCCTGAGGTTTATTGTAATTTGCAGTAGGCAAATCTATAAGCCGGTTAACCATCTTACATAGCCTATATTTTTACAGTTAGCAGGGTCGATATAATTAAACTGAAACATACAGACAAAGCTGCAACCACTGGTCTGATCCATGTAAAGGACACACTACAGTTGATCCCTGGCACCCATATTGAAGCAGTAATTTGATAGTAGCTTGTTCCCAGTGAAGGAGAGTCAATTCTTGACAGCTTCAGCCGGCAGTGATCCTTCCGTTTCTGCAGAACATCTGATGATTCTTTGCGATAGTGGACTTCAATTTTAAACCCAAACTTTGCGCAATGAGAGAAGTTTATCGCAGGTGAACAAGGTGCTGGGACAACGCATGAAACACCTTTGCACAGTCTAATTAGAGGAAGCCTCTTTATCTCTGTAGGGATGGTGCGGTTTTACATGCTGTGGATGGGAACTCTCCTCCAATTTTGTCATGCAACGATTTTCACCAACAACTGGGCGATAAGAATAAGGGCTGACCGCGACTCTGTCAACAGGATAGCAGAGAAATATGGATTTACTAACATGGGTCAGGTAGGTGTGATCTAACATACTGTGTAGCCTATATTAGAAGCACCAGACAAGGACATACTATAGTCTACCTAACATTTGTCTTGATCTCAGTTAAAGTTTTTAATTTCTCGGACTGTAACTGTTTGTGTTTATTGAGGCCCATAGAGGGTCAGAGTGAAAAGGCCTGAGTAATAGACCACATCACATTCAAAGACAACTACAGTATGGTACAGTCTCCTATTACCTTCATTTTTATTATTAAAACCCTCAGCATATAACATTAATCATCCAAACAGTTAAACCTCAAATATCTAGCACTTTATTGCCATTTTAACCAAGGTCACAAAGAATGTGTTTCTATATGTACAGAGAGAAATGAAAACAGAAATCAATCAGACCAGACATGTCAGTACTACCCCAGAATGAACAAATAAAAATAAAACAGAGCAAGGCTCATAAAATTCAACACCTGTATTCACTGTGCTTTAATGAAAGCTGCAGGTCTTGGCTCCATGTTTCAGTACAGGTGATATGAACCAGAAATACCCTTTTAAACTGAAAAGATACTTTGCTTTTAATTACTGAGGCCAGAAGTCAAAAGCAAATTTCACAACAGAGAAATTGGGGAATAAATAAAGCCATAAATGATTCTTGTCAGTCACAGAAAATGGCCAACCTAAGACACTTTTTTATTAAACATAAGTTACCTAGAGCCTCACTTCTTATATATTAAAAAATCTGTTTACATCATGGCATTACAGACACACACACAAACGTACAGTATGTGCACATATAGAGGCAGGCACACACACACACACAGCAGCAGTGTGGCTGAAGTCTTGTGGCTCAGGTTGCCTGAAAAACTATCACAGGTATAAGGTAGCCGCCTTCATAAAAGACACCAAAGGCAGTTTCATAATTTAACAGCTGTTTAGCACAGCGACAGAGTGGGATGAGCGAACACACCTTCACCTGAAAACAAATTAATTTAGAGGATTGGATGGCTGTTTCACCAGATTGGAGACCTGAAGAGTTATTACAGTTTTCAACACGACGAGACAGCCAAGCGGTCCACTGTGTCCAACAAAGACGTGACTGTTGGTGTCGCCAAGGAGACCAAGGTATAGTAATGGGATATGAAGACTGCTGGGTTATTAATGATCTGCATGTCCCCACCCTACTTCCAGATACTAACACATAAGCATACACATGTTCTTGTACTGGCCTCACATACACACTCATCTCTTCACATCATGGCCTCACACATACACACGCACACACATACAATCACAACCTTAAGTTGCCAAGAGTCATTAACAAAGAGGAATAAAATGCCCAGTATTACACACCTCATTTAAAGGATAACTGGTTTATTCTAAGATGGATCTTATTTTTGTGGTTTGTGTCAACTGCTGAGATCTGGGAAAATGGTGACATTCCCAAAAAAGAAGTCAGAATGGGCAAGAAAGATGAGCAGTCAGACGATATACCCAAACTGTACCCTGTTATAAATATCCATCTAAACCCCCCTTTGCTAAACCCCTCCCCAAACAAGTCAAACAGGGTTCTATTAAAACAAAATAACAGTCAGATCTTACATTATCCTCATCAAACTTATTATAAATACTCGTTAGTTCTATGTATGCAGCTAGCCTTAATCTTTTGGTGCGAAATCGTGTATGGAGAAGTCATAAATGGCATATTTAAGATCCCTTTTTCAAGATTCTTGTTTTAAAACGAGTCAGCTGCAACATTAAATAGTCAGTCTGAGTCTACGTTTTTTAACCAACTCATGGTGCTGACATTAGTTTAGCTTGCTACAGCTGCAAACATCTGCCAGCAGCTGCTCTGGGTAAAACTGATATAAAACCCATTAGAAATGATGACCAAAACTATGAAAATAAGATGCACACAAACATTGTTATAAATAACAGTCTGCAGCCATGCTAGCTTATGGGAAAGTTGTTAATTCCGCATGTATCTGGTCATAAACCAACGTTTTGGACTATTTAAAAAATTTGACCTAATAATGGTGCAAGATGAAAAAGTTAAGGGGTGACCCAAGTTATCACAATTCATCTTGAAAGTGTGTACCAACTTTCAAGGTTATCAGTCCAGCAGTTGCTGACATTTTACAAAATCCCATAGTTGCTGAGATATATCAGTCTGGACCAAAGCAGCGGGCTGACTATCTATCTGACGGAACATTTCCATCCCTTAAAGCCATGGCGTTAGTTTGGCTAAAAACACTATATACATGTCTACATCTGTAAAAGTGCCCTGCGTGTTCTTTTCAAGGTGGAATGGCTCCAACAGCAGGTGGTCCAGAGAAGAGCAAAGAGGACCTCCAGAGCTAGTCAAATCAAACACCTTCCCACTGTTCAACCTCAGTCCAGCAGCACCCGGATGCTTCACTATAATGACTCAATGTGGAACAGCCTGTGGTACATTGTGAGTCTGATTTTTTTCCACTTTACTAAGCTCGTCTGAAACACAGACACATAAACCCAGACAGACACAGCCCAAAATAGACC